TCTAGAAACGGCCCACGGTCCCTGTTGCCCGAGACCTTAACGCAGCGGTACGAGGTTATCAGTCCCCAACTCGTGGAGATGGCTGCACCACCACATGGAATTGCCGAGGCTTTAAGCATGTGACCTAGGCAACGTTCGTTTCGCCCAGGGGATCTTACTAATTTCTTAATATTATTTTCTCATCTCTTACTTTTTTCCACTTCGAAGAAAAGAAAATATTAAGAAATTAGTTCAAAATACCTTTCTATTTCGAATTATTTCATGAAACTAAATGTCTTCTGTGTGACTTACTCGGTGTTCAATTTTGCCGCTTCTTCGACCAATTTCTTGTACTGTGGGATTATTGTGTTCAGCTCATTTTCCTTAGCTGCGATATCCGATTTAAGCTTATTCAGCACATCCTCCGCTTTATCCTGAATTATCGTTTTTTTGGGACAGAACAAAATGCACGGCAGTAAACCCCTCATCGAAAACTGCTTTACATTCCGGAACGAAAGAAATGCCTCCTCACTCTGCCGGAGCGTTCTTTTTCCACATCTTCACGCAAATCTCGGATCAGCAAATCCAGTTCGGTTTTCTTCTGCACTCTTTCGGTTTGCTCGGCAAGCAGTGCCTCTTTCTCGTCTCGCATACCCTTGAAGCGTGCCTCCAGTTTTCGCTGCTCAATCGAAGCTTGTAGCGCACGATTTTGCACAGTCAGCAAATCATTGGTAACCTGTTAAATGAAAACTAATAATGTGTGCGCAACACGTAATAACAGCAAAATTAAGTACTGACAAAATATTGGAAAAAATTGTGCCGGGGGAAAAAAGTCAAAAAACAGAAGAAACAGGAAAAATCCGCAGATCAAAGGCGCTTAATCCGGCCAAAAGAAATACCTTCCCGAAGTTTCGTGCATAATTTTCCTTTGCTGAAAATGTGCTGGTTCCAATCCCCAATAATCGGAAAAAGAAAAAAAAAAACAAAAACGCTAAAGAGGATCAATACGTGGTCTGTAGCGACTACGAACTGAAGTTCGGGGAAAAAAGTGCGCCAAGCCAAAAAGCCAAAAAACGAAGAAACAAGAAAAACTCGCAGAACAAAGGCACTTAATTTTGCTAAAACAGACGCCTTCCCGAAGATTC